ACAATTAATATAAATTTGGGGGGAAATATTTGTTTCTTTGTCGATTTATGGTATCGATTTATGGAACCCGGAAGTGCAGCCGAGACCAGCGCGCAGCGTAGACCAGCGTGGCAGTTTGACGTGTACGATCAAAACATAAACAAACTCCCGCTGAAGAAGGGAAATTATCCTGTATGTATGCATTTCAGATCCCAGTGACTATGTTTACGATGGGAATAATTGTGGATACGCACGATGCGCACGATAAGCCTCAGAAATTTATGTCGCAAGTGGGACATTCTATAGGCTTGCACGGCCAATGTCTGGCACGCTACGCGGCGTACGTACACTGCTGCACATCACAGCCAGCGATTCAGTGTCTTAAAATATTTTTTAACTATCAGTATAACAATATTTTTAAGTCATATGTGATCAAATTTCTGTAAAAAAAATTTGCACAATTGTAAACATAAAACATGAATAGATCGCTGCTATACTGGGCGTACCATTTCGCGTACATGGCCGGCTGCCCGGCGCAAATACTGTCCCGATTTTTCTCAGTAGAAAACCAGAATAAATCACGCACCCGTAATTTGGCTTCGACCCAGAGCTCCTACTTCAGAGTTGGAACCTCAAAAATAGTAACTTTATTAGAGCATGGAGGTATTATACCTCTATGATTGGAAGAAATATAGTATTGCGACACGTGCATAGAATTTGACAAATGGGGGGGGGGGGGGGCGCTACCTAAAATTCTGCTGCGCTACCTAGTTTTTGCCCTATAGGTAGCACACTGTGCTACTTTGCTCAAAAAGTATTTCGAACACTGCGTTAATCAACAGTCCATACCGAACCAACCGTCAGTAGCCATCAAACCGGCATACAAACATATTACGCACATAACTTTCATACTACACACAAACAAATAACCTAAACCAATAGAAAAAAAAACCCGGAGGTTTGAAATCTACGATTTCCCTTGTTCATTTTGTTTCATGTGTTGCAGAGATGTTGGACAGGAGACATGTCTCCCCCTTACACGCCCCAAGCCTGCTGAATCAGATGTTTTTTATTGTGTTGCAGAGAGGCTGTACAGGAGACACACCTCCCCCTTACACGCCCCCCAGCCTTGCTGAATCAGATGTTTTTTTGTGTTGTAGAGAGGCTGTTATTGTAGTTTGAATCAGATGTTTTTTATTGTGTTGCAGAGATGCTGTACAGGAGACATGTCTCCCCCTTACACGCCCCCAGCCTTGCTGAACTCATGAACGGCCCCATCAAGAAATATCTGGAGGTCATACCTGAAGATGTCACATGGGGAGGTACGGCACTTCTTGGAAACAAAGTTATCAATTTGAAAATGACAAAATGAAAGATTGATCTAGAATATTATAAATTTTTATAACATTGATGGTACATACATGTGGGGTGGTAAAATTGCTTTCATCAAGGACATTATACAGTATAATGTCCTGGCTTTTATCTAGTAAAAAAGGGGTGGATAGCCTGTAGAAATAATCTAAGCTCATTTGGAAGATTACATATTGGATGCTGATATAATCATGTTAATCAAACAGTTACAATATGAACAAAGTGGGCCATTTTTTCAGCACTCTGACATGCCTGATTGACTTCGTTTTTTTTGGACATCATTCGAGGAAAGTTTCTGAATCAGTATCTCAACTGATGTCTTTTTTATTTCCCCTCCTCAGCTCAATCAGGAGAGGTGTTTGCGATGATGGCAGGAGACTTCATGAAGCCAGTCATCGACATTGGTAGGAACATTCTCTTAGCACTGCTTTTCTTACTGGTACAAAGGTAAAGGTAGTTCAGTATCTGTATCTGTATAGCCGGTATAACTGCCCTTCAGCATAACACACCAGCTTCTGTATCTGTATAGCCGGTATAACCGCCCTTCGGCATAACACACCAGCTTCTGTATCTGTATAGCCGGTATAAGCGCCCTTCGGCGTAACACACCAGCTTCTGTATCTGTATAGCCGGTATAAGCGCCCTTCGGCGTAACACACCAGCTTCTGTATCTGTATAGCCGGTATAAGCGCCCTTCGGCGTAACACACCAGCTTCTGTATCTGTATAGCCGGTATAAGCGCCCTTCGGCGTAACACACCAGCTTCGAGTTCCATAGCCTTTTTAGCCCATAGTAGCAATGGGTCATCCATTGTACACGTGTCTGGAGCACGGTATTGGAAGGCAGAGCCCATCCCTCTCCTTCCACTGCCTTTTACCGCCCAACCAAAGTCAGGTCAAAACATATTGTACACCTGGGTTGAGGGAGGAAAGTAAGTGTAAATTCGCTCAGGTGAGAATAAGAATTGTCCTGTCCTGTATTTGTTTCTGTGTGTAGGACACAACACCAGCAACAGTTGCCTGTGTCCCATGTCTATTGTTACAATTTCAATTTTTTATAAATCAAATCAAAGACAACCCTGTATTTCATATCATTCTTTGTTTTGTTTATCTTCAGTCGATGACTTGATTCAGAACACAGACCTGGCCGTGGTGGTGTATAATGGACAGTTGGACCTCATCTGTAACACTATTGGTAAGTGGAACGTCATTAACTGTCAGGAAATAATTTCATCAGGTTGGTACAAGCAGTACTCCAGTCAAAAGCCCTGACAAGAATGTTTGACAGGCATAATCAGGTGAGAGACTTATCATGAAAGTTCATCTGGTTTGGTAGTTACATGTTTAGGGTTAAAACTTTAGATCTAACACAAAAAGTTCTCTCACCTAGAGCTTTCGACCAGTCACTGGTCTTCCTCAGTAGACTGACCCAGTGAAGCTTGTCACGTGGCTTCTTTGAAGTGTGACGTCAACACTGAGTCAAAAGTATCCGGTAGACGTTGTCAGCCCCTTTCGCGGTTAAGTGAAGGGTGGTGGGCCCTGATGTAAATAGCCTCCTTCACCCCTCTCAGGAAATAGCTCTTCATATAGAGTTAAACTGGATCAAGGTCAGGATATTGGGACTTTTCTTCTTCACAACAAGTCCTACTTGTTAGTCCACCTTCCTCAGTTCAATGTGCTTGTTGAAGAGCTATTCACCAGGTACTACTTGTCAGTCTACCTTCCTCAGAGCTCCTCACCGAAGATTTCTTGCTCCTATATATATATGTGTAGCCAAGAAATACTTCAGTAAGAAGCTCTGAGGAAGGTGTCTGATAGACATCAAAACGTCAGCAACAAGAATTCAGATACCTTCTACCTACATGAAATACTAAGAGCATTTTGTAATTTACTGTGTTTTTTTTTTGTAGATTATAAAGTTACGGACGGGTATATTTTTGGATCTAGGTTGTTTTTTTGTGTATACAGCCACAACTATTCAATTTGTTGGCTCTCGGATTCGCCTCTTCATTTTTTTCTGATTTGCAAAACAAAAAAATTCTGGTTCTGAATCAACTCAAATATGCTCATATTTTGCACTCATAAATTGAAGAAAGTCCTTTTCTTCCTAGTCGGTACAGTTTTTCCATCTATCGATGCAGTGGTTTGATTAAAAGTTCATTGTTAAAGTATTAACCCAGCCTTTTGTGTTGACTTCATGGCTCCTATCTTAGTATCATGTACTCCCGTCATGATGATGATGATGATCTTTGCATCTGGGGCTATAATAGGATGCCCAGACCTGTTTTTATTCTTTTTTTTCACCCTGTCGCTAAGCCTTCATATTTTTTTCTGAAAAATCCGAGAACCAACAAATTTAATTGGTGTGGCCTAAATTATTTTTGGATCGAGATGACTTTCCTTTCCCTCCACAGGAACTGAAGCCTGGGTGCACAAGCTGAAGTGGCCGGGCCTCGCACAGTTTGACACCAAGAGGTGGAAGCCCATTATGACCAAGGAGAAAACCGTCGGCTTCGTCAAGACTGTGGACAACTTCTCATTTTACTGGATCTTAAATGCTGGGCATATGGTAGGTTTGATACCTGTCTTTTTAATGCTAACAGAATATTTAATGTGGAGTATGGATGAAGGTGTAGTTTTAGCTATTGCTGGGGAAGTCTGTTGTCTTTGGCTTTCATGTTTTGCATGATTGTGTATCTGTTGGCAACCTTTCTGTCATGCTAATACATATTGATTGCTGTCAACACTAAATACCTGTATCTAAAAAATGTATTCTGATTTCCATGTTCCGAAAACCCTAAAGTAGAAGTTAGATACTAGTAATCTCCAAGCAGATCGTAGGGTGACAAAAGTAACAAATAAGCTAAGTAGCAATTTGCCAGGGAGGGTCCATATGCCACGCTTGCCTGGCCAATTTGATACTGTCTTTTGCCACCTTAGGATCTGCTTGAAGACTACAAGTAAGAGTTAGAAACGTATGATAGAACAGACTAGTGTCAGAACATACATAGTATTACATTGATGTGTATGACTGTTGTCTGATGGGAGAAGTTTGTGTGTTTCTCCTGTAGGTACCAGCAGATGCAGGGGAGACAGCTCTTAGGATGGTTACCATGGTGATGGACAGTCAACGATGAAGACAACTTGATGATCTTAAATAAAATAGCAAGTTGAACCTAGAACGTGTCACAGTGGACAGTGCAAGTTTTGTGCCATATAGGGTATATTTAGTACCGCTACCGTAACATTACAAATGTATTTTGGACTGTTAAAACATCAAATGCAATTTCAGGGCACTGCAAAGCAAATTTTTATCATATTCTGGATGAGGAAATCTGTCTGATATTGACATTTGCTGCCATTTCTTAGCATATTTCTGTCTACATTTCATACATGTACTTAAAGTGATTAAAATAGCTCCAAAGCACCTTTTTATTTTTTGCATAGTTAAGTCATAGCCTCTTTATTTTTTGTGTAGTAGTCAGTCTTATGAGACTGACAGTAAACCCATAAAAAGCTAGAACTGGCCTAGTGTACAGATGTATAATCCCATGACTTAATCCTCTTTGTTTATCCAAAGGCATTTAGCCTCAGGGAGGTACAGAATACATAATAATTGTATTTTATTTTGGTTTGTTTATTTGTAAACAGTTGTTGAACAACTTTGACTGGATATTGAATTTGTCCAGGCATCCCAGACTTTATGTGTATATTATGTTTTGTGTGATTCTATATTATTCTGTGTGCATGCTTTTCAATGAGTCATAGTTCCTAAATTCAGCTGCCATATCAGTAGAATGTTAGATCCACCAAATTTCATCTTTGACATTTGCTTCTCAATCAGTTATGGTGTGTTCTTATGAAGTATTCACCTATTCCAATAAAATATACCTGACAGTGCACCAAAATTTTGTTTTTCATCCTCAGTATATATTGGCCTTCATGGTACACCATCTCTATTTTATAGGATAACCTTCTCAAGATCTATTTCAAGTATGGATAAAAGGTGAGCTCACTTTGTGATGCATTTCCCAGTGTAATAATCGTTTTAAAGGTTTGTCATAATGATTACTACCCCAGTTGCACTGTCACCCATCCGCTAAAAGGTATTAGATGAAGTGTGATTGCTCTTATGGTTGGATCAATAGAGTATGCAAGGTTCTTATGATCCAATCTCCAAGCAGACCTTTTGGTAGCTGCAAATACAGTTCAGTGTATCAATTTAGCGAGGCTGCATCCAGGCTGTTGTAAAATGATACCACTTTACCAGTACAAAAAGAGGGCCCAATAAAAATGCCTAAAAGGTGCCAAAAAGTAGCCGAAGCTTAAAACTTCTGCTTAATATAAGAGAGTACTTCTGATTGTTATTGATCCTCAGTGCTGGCCTTCAAGCTTTACAAATTTAATTTCATGGATATCAGCCTCAAGAGGCCCCAAATCTATTGCAAGTATGAATAAAAGGTCAGTGCACTCTCGCGATGCATTTCACAAAGTGATAACCTTTGTGTCATCATAACAATTACTAAGTGCAGCTGCACTGTCACCCATCTGCAAAGTTTGTTCATGTGCTTGGATCAGTAAAATACACCAGGTCCTAGCCTCTACCAGGCTTCTGTTGGTGGCTGGAAAGAGTAGAAATCGGCCAAATAGAGATAACATGCCAGGGGAGTTGGTCTGCTGCAGAGAACATTTTGCCGCTCCCGAAATGGCGACCCTGCACAAGCTTCGGGAGCGGCAAACTGTTCCCTTCAGCAGACCAACTCCCCTGGCATGTTATCTCTCCATTTGGCAGATTTCTACTCTTTCCAGCCGCCTCTCGAAGCCTGTTAGAGGCTAACCAGGTCCTACTGATTGTTATTCGTCCTTAGTATGGACCTTCATGCTCTACCAACTTTATGGATAAGAGTCTCAAATCTATTGCAAGTATGGATAAAAGTTTATCCTTTGCTATGCATGGTTTAATGTCCTATCATAGCAGTTACTAGCGCAGTCACACTGCTACCCATCTACTAAAAGGGATTAGAGCTCTTGTTAGGGCAGAGCTGGGACCCGTCAAAATCAATGTTTGCTAAGATGGCATCTATAAAATCAGGTTTAGCCTGGGCATCTGGCCGTGAAGTTTTGGCAAATTGGTAGATCATATAGTATCAGAGAGTTTCATCACTTGGAACCAAGCATATCTTTGCTGGCAATGTTTTGGTCTGTGTGCCTAGTAACTCTCCCACACAGAGGTTTACGCTTTGGCTCCTTTTTGAGCTCATTTTACACACATACATGTACATTGAATTTCATGTATTTAAGAGATTTGGGGTTTTATTGGGTGCAAAATAAACTTTTGTCATTTATTGTTCTGCATTCATTAAGACTTTATTCCTCATATCATGAGCTGGAAAAGTTTAATTACAGGAGTAGAGTTATATGAGGTAACCATAAAATGGTTCCATATCCATTACCTTATGAGGGTGTCATTCCTCATATCAAGTACATATTTGTACAGTTAAAAGTTTATCATTTAGGTCCATCACACATTCAAAACCATTCCCCAAAAACCAAGGTTGGCCCAAGTAACACAAGGTTTGTAAAGTTTTACCAGTTATCTTAAAATTCAAGAAAGCAATATCACATACAATCATGACAGCCACAAAAATGACCATAATATACTATGTATGTCTGAGAAAAAATTTAATTCCACTTGTACGTATTCGTGTATCAACGTACCTGTGGTTGGATTTTAGACTGTTCCTCACCAGAAAAACTCCAGCATCCATGCAGCAGCCGGGTCGTGTCATCCATCAGGTAAGAAAATAGACAAATAGAACTACAGATGGCCCGAACAGGACATCTAAGTCACTGTGGTACACTGAACAAATTGCTTATATTTTCATCATCTTTTTGTCTTGTTCGCATTTTGGTTAGTTTCCACTTTGGCGATGGAATTTCCATTCTAATATGCATGTACTACTAATACATTTCATATCAAACCTCTTTAACACTATTGTTGTGTATAATGTAAAAGATGGGAAAATGAAGGTCTTCTTAATTGTAGTTTCAGCCAACTTACTGTCCCTTGGAGAGAGATTTTAATAAAAAAAGAAAAATGAAGCATTTTGCTAGTCCAGTATTCAGCACCGCCACAGTTCTGATATTTCGCTGTATTGAAAACTTGAAAAGACATACAGTATACACTGTGAAGTAACTTTAAGTAAAGCATGAATCACAAACAGTGGAGTATTTTCGCCGAACCCGAGGGTTGGGGACACTGAGGTCCAACAGCACCGAGAGCGCTGTGAAAATTCCACCCTTCAGAAACAGCAACGGAGCAAGGAGAGAGGCACTTGCCTTGTTGCTAGGGCGTCAACCCTACCCTAGTAACCGTAACCATGGTTATGTTCCGCAGCTGCAGAACTGTGTAGAGGGGGGAAACAAAAACCAAACTATTTAGGACCTAGTCTTTCTACAAGGGTGGGATAGTAGAGAGGACTTTGCTTTGAAGAACATCCATTTGCCATGCCTTAAAACATTTATTTTCATCATCTTCATGTGTAAAAAGTTGTTCTCAAGTCAGTTAATATTTTGAAAAGTAGTGAGTGCTTGAAGTGAACAAAAAGATTTCTTGCCTTTACTACTTTCTTACTCCTTTGTGCCATCTGTACAGTTGTTTAAAAAGACGCTCACTCAATATGGTGGACAATAGTATCCTAAATTTGCTTAAAAAGTTGAAAATCAAACGTCTTGAAGCATATTCTTCCTACCTTTGTTTTCCTACCTTAACACTGATGTCCCTCAAGCAGAGACTGAGCAATTCCCCAGTGGTTCTGATACATTTGACTGTGCAATATTAAATGGGGGCACTTGCCTTACTGCTGTGTCAATACAGTACAGATATAACCCTTTCTTTCCTAATTCATCCAAACCCACACCATCTAGTAGATCATGTCTTAAGAAGAATGTACACATAAAACCAGTGGAGTATTTTCGCCGAACCCGAGGGTTGGGGACGCTGAGGTCCAACAGCACGGAGAGCGCTGTGAAAATTCCACCCTTCAGAAACAGCAACGGAGCAAGGAGAGAGGCACTTGCCTTGTTGCTAGGGTGTCAACCCTACCCTAGTAACCGTAACCATGGTAATGTTCCGCAGCTGCAGAACTGTGTAGAGGGGGGAACAAAACCAGACTGTTTAGGACCGAGGTTTTCCTACAAGGGTGGGATAGTAGAGACTAGTGTTCTTTTAAAAACTTCCATTTGCCATGCTTAAAAACTTTTTCTTCACCATCTTCATGTGTAAAAAGGTGTTCTCAGGTAACTTAATGAGTGCTGGAACTGAACAAATATATTTGTTGCCTTTACTTCTTTCTTACTCCATTGTGCCAGTTGTTTAAAAAGACGTTCACTTGATAATATAGTGGACAATAGTATGCTGAATTTGCTTGAAAATCAAATTTGCAATTAAAGCATTCTCCCTACCTTTGTTTTCCTACCTTAAATACTGATGTCCCTCAAGCAGAGACTGTCAGCAACTTTCCAGTGGTTTTCTTATACATTTGTGCAATTAAATGGGGCACTTGCCTTTCTGCTGAGAGCGGATACAGTATAACCCTTTCCTTCCTTAGCACTACGCATTTCTAATAACTGCACCAGGCTGATCTAGTGGTGTTTTAAAAATTTGCCAACATACACATACAAACAGTGGAGTATTTTCGCCGAACCCGAGGGTTGGGGACACTGAGGTCCAACAGCACGGAGAGCGCTGTGAAAATTCCACCCTTCAGAAACAGCAACGGAGCAAGGAGAGAGGCACTTGCCTTGTTGCTAGGGCGTCAACCCTACCCTAGTAACCGTAACCATGGTAATGTTCCACGGCTGCAGAACTGTGTAGAGGGGAGGAACAAAACCAAACTATTTAGGACCTACATGTCTATTTTCTACAAGGGTGGGGTATACGTAGTAGAGAGGTCTTTTCAGTTTTCTTTTTAAAAACTTCTATTTGCCATTCCTAACAATATTTATGTGTAAAAATGTGTTCTCCGGTCACGTTATCTTTTTAAAAGTGAATAAAAGTGTTTGAAGTGAATAAAGCTCTCTCTAAGTCTGAAACATCTTTCTTACTCCATTGTGCCATGTGTACATGTACAGCTGTTTAAAAAGACGCTCACTTAATGTACATGTAGTTGACAATAGTATCCTGCATTTGCTTGAAAATCAAACGTCTGGAAGCATTCTTCCTACCTTTGTTTTTTCCTACCTTAACACTGATGTCCCTCAAGCAGACACTGAGCAATTCCCCAGTGGTTCTGATACATTTGTGCAATTAAATGGGGGCACTTGCCTTTCTGCTGAGAGTCAAAACAGTATAACCCTTTCATTCCTTAGCACTACGCATTTCTAATAACCTGCACCATGTTGATCTAGTACACTACCTTAAAAAAGAACACTTTACACACAAAAACAGTGGAATATTTTCGCCGAACCCGAGGGTTGGGGACGCTGAGGTCCAACAGCACGGAGAGCGCTGTGAAAATTCCACCCTTCAGAAACAGCAACGGAGCAAGGAGAGACGGCACTTGCCTTGTTGCTAGGGCGTCAACCCTACCCTAGTAACCGTAACCATGGTAATGTTCCACGGCTGCAGAACTGTGTAGAGGGGGAGGAAACAAAAACCAACTATTAGGACCTACGTGTCATTTTTCTAC